ACATTACTTAGGTCATTAACCTCAGCTAGCGCCTTGATAAAAGCGTAGGCAAACATCTCCGGCTTGTCTAATGAGTTTCACGGTACAAAATAGCGTTACATTTTAATCGCTGTCTTGATTGGCCAGGTATTTGCGTTGGCAGTCACTTCAATTCTACGTAATTACGTTAAATAAAACTGCTGTTTATTATCTAACGTTGAATAATTTTAAAATACGGCATAAAACACTGTTAAAATTATCAAAAATCATCATCAACATGCTCTAATCCCTACGGAGGGTCGGCATAGTATGTGCTCTTCCATACATCTATATCAGCCGTATCTGAATCCACTCCTTTCTTAAGCATATCCTCTTTCACACAATCCTTCCATACTTTCTTCGTTATTTCTCTACCTTTGTAGTCATCCATTCTAAAATGAAACATTCATTCTAAACACTTTATGGTTTATGTCCCCATCGTCTCGTCGCATAACCATACCGAATCATCATAAACTAAATGTTTTCACTAAAATATTTTAATTTTAATCGTATATTTAGCCCTAAAAATCTACACTAAGGGAAACTTAGTCACTTTAGTGCGACTGTAAGACATAAATATATCGAAAGGAACATAAAATAAAGTCGACTAATGCAATGCAATTTTATCGTAAGTAACAAGTGGCCACGCCTTACATCAGTTATTTAGCCGATGTTGGTCATTTTATGGCTTCTATTTACTACGACAAGGTGCTATCTCTCCAACTGTGACGTCACGCCGAACTTTATTCCTTTTTTATTAGCACATAAACGCCTACCAGGTGTTATGGCTTCATAATAAACAATCTATTGTTATTATTACGCGTCGTTTTACTACGACAAAGCGGCTAATTTATAGCGTTTAATAATAGCTTATGATATATCTTTAAATGCGCCATTTTAGAGCCCACCGTTATTATGCAATAAGGAATTAAAATTGTTCAATTTTTTTTTCGTCATGGAATTATTACTTCATTCTACTCAACTTTATTCAGAAAAAATTGTATTCTCTAAATATAAACTCTGGCCGGAGATTAAAAAAAAAACAAAAGTTGCCTATGTGTTCTTCCAGACTTCATCATCTTTGCCAAATTTCATCAAGATCCGTTCAGCAATTTAGGCTTCAAACTCTAAGTAACATTCATAACATCCATCTAAATTGTCACATTTATAATATTAACTAGCTGTTCCCGGGTGGCTTCATCCACAAGATACTATAAAAACAATATTTTATTATTCCATTTGTCAAATTTTTAATTTCACATGTCAAAATTAACGTTACCAATAACCTTGCTTCCTTAATGTTGGCAGCTTGTAGTATACATTTCCTAAAGGTTTTTTCCAATTTTTTTACCCCTAAGTTCAAAAGCGTAAAAATATATAGCCTAAAGCGTGTCATAAGTATAGGGCTTTTTATTAAAGAAAGAATTATTCAAAAATATGCTGTGATTGCTGACATCTTACGTCACGAAGTAGTGTGTGTTTACAATTTATTATATTTTTTTGACCTTAATAAAATTTTAAAACTCATTAACTGTTGTCTTAGTTTTGTCGATGTAATTAAAAAAAATATTTTCAAAGAAAACTTTAAACTATAATAACATAAGAATGCGACGCAACAAGTTAAGTGTACTCTAAGTTTATTGAGGTCAACATAACAAGCTAACAAGTGTCAGTTAAGCAATTACACGACAAAGTCAGCGCAAGGATTAACCCACTTAAAAAAATGGATTAAGCAGCAAGAAAGAATTATGTACACTTTTACTGTTAAAGCTGAACACATTATTTTCGAAATTACAATTTTAAAATTGATTTTAATATAGTTTTAAATTATACTACATAACCGCGTTGTGGAACGGTCCAACCTAGTGTTCTTTACTGTTATGATTTAGGGTCCTTCAAGAAGCAAGCACCTTCTCAAAGGCCGGCAACGTATCTGCAGTTACTCTGGTATTGCGAATGTCCATTGGCGTCGATGACCACCACTCGTTTGCCCCCACCCCTTTTCCTATAGAAAAATTTCAGTATATACCATTGTACATTTATTTACATTATATATTTCTTCTATACCACTACATATTCGAAATGCATGTAAATACGTAACAGCTATTTTAGACCTAATAACCAATTTAGAGAACAAAGTTCTAAAACAGTTTACAAGTATTTTAACGCCGCGCTATAAGTCATTGCCAATTTCTGATACTTAAAATAGCACTGGACGTGCTAAGTCATAATTATAAGGGTATACTCACACTAGCGAAAGCCATAAGAATTACATACAAGCGTTTGTTTTAGCCTTTTGAACATTAGACTTTAGATACATTACACGTTACCGCCCGCATGCGTTTTTCGATATTACCGCTTGTTACATCAACCGAGCATTTTCATTGGTCGTCAGTCTATTTGCAGGATTTCTCCGTATGCTGTTTACCGAATTATTAACTAATGAAACAGTGCCTTTACAGAGTGATTGTCGATTGTTTCGCAGTTTCAACTGTTTAGTTGTCCAACTAAACATCGAGTACACCTCCATATAAACAAATCGAGACTACAGTTGTGCGATATTTTAGTTTAAGATGTGTGCACGCTATAAAGCGGATAAATGTTCTACAAAGGTACAGTTCTGCACATAACATTAATTACAGTTGTGTTCAAAAGTGACTTTTATTTACGCGTGTCTCTGTTCTATTAAAGAGAAAGATGATGCTATAACAGTATTCGTTCAGTGCTGCACAAATTTGTATTTGCATTTTCATAATCTGTATACTTTTATGTAATCTTGAAGGAACTTAAGTAGAGAACACTATTTTTATACTTACTTACTAATAGACCACCAGTGATAGTGCCCGCTTTAACATCTTAGCACGAATAGGTCGGCACGCCCGGTGCTATACCACGACCACACAGAAGACAGGCGGAAATGGAAGCACTTCCATGTTTCGTCTGATGAGTGTGGTGCCGGAACCCTAATTTAAGTCCCTTTCTCTTTACCACCGTTTTCTTATAAATAGAGGATGGGAAGGGGAAGTGGATTTGACGGAGGTGGAGATACATAGGATGGGGAGATATTCTCTTCATGTGCGTCTCCGCCTCTGTTGGATAAGGCTAGGCAACGCATCTGCAATTGCGGATGTCTATGGGCAGCGGTCGCTTCGCCATTTTGGCGGATTCAGGTGGCCGCTTGCTCGTTTGCCATCTTATGTCATAAAAAAAACATGCGAAAGTTTATATGTATGTTTGTTACAGTTTGTAACCAAAACCTGAAGTCATAGATGTAGATACTCTGGAAGAACACGTATGCTACTTTTGTTTTTTTAATTCCACGCGTACGGAGTCGCGGATGAGAGGTAGTGCGTTATAAATCTAAGAAGATGTATTGTTGTAAAGGCGTTATCCATATTGATAAATGGAACATTCGACTTCGGTCCGAATCATATATCCAATTTAGCTTAAAAGATACATTTTCATATGACGAATAGAATTACATTTCATTGACAGAAATTTTATTACACCGATAAAATATAATATCTTTTTTATTTTGTATTTGATATGCGAGTTTTATATTTAATTTTATAAGCTTCATGTTAGCATGGGAAGTTTTATCTGTCTAATATTTAGTAAGTATGGTATATCACAATTCGAATACATAATAATAAATATAGTAAAAATATTTTTATGTTGGATTTTTAGGTTTGGTTCGTGACTTTATTCGTGTGTAATTAAAAAATTAAAATCATAAAAAATATTTGTATTTATTGAAATATCTCAAAAACTACTGGGAAGATTTCAAAAACTCTTTAAAAAAAAACTCACCATTAAAAAGATACGTTATCACTAAAAAACATAGGACACATATTTTTCTATTTTACAATTCCATGCAGACGAAATCGCGAGGAACGGCTATTTAAAAAAAGCAAAAGCTAGTAGCCTGTGTATTCTTCTACACTATCCCCTACATTTATACCTATAGAGATTCGTTCAGCCGTTTATGAGGCACACTTTTACCGGCGGCTTAAATTTAATTCGTGCTTCTTTTGTTTTACCACAGAGTACATATTTTTTGTACTGAGGATGGTAGAATGGTAGACCATTCATCTGCAGTCAAGCTTAATTTTAATAATCGTGGTCTGTTCCTTATTTAAAAAATGCACAGAGTATTCAAAACTTTTTGCAGTCTCTGAATACAGTCACAGAGTATTATAACTTCTTTTATGAACATGCCAAGCTTATAAAAGTGTTCATAGTGATATAAACGGATAGTTATATTGTTAAGGGGTTATAAATCTCTTATTATAAAGAGTTTACTGTCTTCAGATTTAATAGCTGTATTCAAAGATGTTTCAGGGTTACTGAGGGCGATTTTTAGTGGAGTAATCTACACTAAGGGAATCGTTTAAACATAAGTTAATTAGTAAGTGATAATTAAACTGCAAGAGTAACTTATCTGTCATTGTATTTAGTGAACTGTTTAAAAATCAGAAGTTACATAATCTATGTTTTATTTTGAAAAGAAATGTTACCCTTTTTTAAACTAGCCAACACTAAATTACGTTAAAACTTTGCGTAACCGGTAAAATATTGGGTAAATCTGTTTTATGTCGCATCAGAATGCGCCCTAAACTAAAATGTGGCAACATTCTTACACAGAACAGATCCCTTCGGCCCTAAAATGCCACTATCAATTGACTTGTGATATTTAAATCATTGGCATTATTTTTAAAAAGATCTATTTCAAAGACGATACGCATCACTAGGTATTCTTGTACTAAGAAATATTCTTTCATGGCTTCTTTAATAACTCATTTATTTTAATTAAATTTATATAATGAAAGGCTTAGTTTGCACTTACAACTATTAAATAAAACGCAATAATATAATAATTAGATGTATAACTTTGGCATTAAATATTAGACTAACCAATTTTACTTTTTCAGATCGAAGCCGGGAGATGCAACTACTAAAACTGCGCTAAAGCGACACTTACAATGGCAGTGAATAGTCCCGGTGGCTACCCACCACTATCCCCAAAACCCCTCACGCCTAAAAGTCCTCGACACTTCATCTTCCCACAAAAAAGCCCTTCCATCACCTCCAGCACCTCTTCCTCAGGTTACTTTACCCCTCAATCCGGCTGCAGCTACGACAAACACAACCCCCCTCCCAAATCCCCCATCGCCCATGGCCATAGAAGTCCTATGAGCCCTAGACACTTCAATTTCCCACAAAAATCACCATCAGGGCGCTCTAGCCCTTGCAACTTTGATAGAATACCCCACGGCCTTCACTACACCACTTCTCTCAAGCACGTCCGCCGTGAGAAATCCAGATCTCCGAAACCACCACCTGTACACATTCATACAAACCCTGGCTACGTATCCCCTAATAGGGGAAGAAAACTGTACGGGTCAACCTCCACAGTCAGCTCTCCTAGACTGGTCACGTCTCCTAGTATCGTATCTAGCCATACTGATGACTCAATAGACGCGATGCCTGGCACGCCATCTGCTATAGTCCACGACGCGGATGACGAGGCAACCACCACTTCTTCAAGGATTTGTCGTAAATCAACATCAGATCTCACCGATTTAACGGATGATACGCCATGCACACGGTCTACCAGTATAAGTAGACCTTGCTCGCCGATGCGCCGAGGCTCCATGAAAGGTGGTCTCGCTTACTTAGCGAGTAGACGGGGATCTAGAGAGTCTACGATGTCGAATTGTGATTCTGTGGAGGATATTGGACCTCTGAACTTCCAGAATACGATGCGCGGACGTCAGAGGCGGACCTCGAACTTCTTGGAGTTACCAGGTGAGTACTTTAGTTATTAAACAAACTCATCGCAAAACATGGATTTATAACCGTCACCCCGCGTTGTCCCCACGTGGAGACAGATAAGAATAAAAAGCTTCATCAGTCCCACCTTTTGCGACGAGGGAACGGTTGGAACTTATTTTATTTCATAACGGTTCCATCTGTCACCTTATTGTTGATCGTGGGGAAAGGTGGGACGGATGAAACTTTTTATCTCACATGGGGACAGAGCGGGGTGACGGTTGGGAATAATCACAAAAAGCATAGATAACCTTAAATAATTGTGTTAATATAAGAAATAAAATCACTGTAAACAGTCTGAAATATTATACTATATTCTAAGTGATGTTTAAGGTTTTCTGCTTGATTTCATGAAAAATTCAGACATAAACCGTGTTGGTTATTGCATTATTTGTGTCGCGGCGGTCGTTATTACGTTCACAAATGTAAATAGACTTCTTACAGCCAGCCGGCGTAATCCTAAAACCAGAAGCTGTCTACAAAAGTACTTTGTTTCCTTACTTTGTTACATTTTTTCATTGCGCGGTTATTTTGGTTTGTGAATTTTTGAACAAAGACGAAAGTCCTTTACACGTATTCTGTAGATTTGAATTTCGGTTATTGTAAATTAAACTCTATTATTGAACTTTTAAAGTCTGTTATGGTAATACTCTTATTTAATTAAGCAAATTCAAAAATAAGACGAATACAAAAACGGAATATATTTCATGAAAACTTTGATGATAAAAATATTTGAACGAGCTACCATAAAAATATTTCATTTTCCTATTTTCTTTTATTCGCAAACTGAATACGCGTTTCGAGAACATTCTAATGTAGGTATAAACTGACTCTGACGTCTAGTATGAACTAGATGACAAAACAAAAATAAAATGTATAAAAATGCATATGAAAACATACTTATTTTCAGTCTTAAAAGTTACTTTTTGCTAGTACAACAAAATCATTTGATATTAAAATGATTGCAAAATCTAGATAAAAAAAAATTATTGGCATTTTATTTTTGAACGTTAATAAAAAAACGGTATAATTAATTTTATAATACAAGATTCTTAATAACGTATACTTATATAAAAAGTCGATTAAAGCGCCCCCTAGATTACAATTGTATTCTCGTAGTTGAGATTTACGTGTTGTATAGCTATCTCTGTTTAGTGATAGACAATGAAAGGGATAGCAATACACACGAATGGCAGTGTAGGGTTATATTGATTTAGTTGTGGAGCATGCTCGGCCGCGCGTGTGCTCGCTACCTGAGAAGCCATACAACCCTAGGCTGTCTGATGACCTGTACCGTCTGCGTACCTTCTCCATCACCACTAAGGGCGGCGTCGTCAACTGTGGGGACTCCATCTGCAATCGGCGCAGTCGCTCCAATACATCTGTCAACTCTACTAACAGCCGGTATGCGATATTCGTACTACATACTGTTAAAAAATCGATATCGCGACGAAACAGCGGCCCAACCCTACATATTGTCATACACGTCCCATCTCTATGGCATCAATGTCAATCAGAAATTATAAGAATGAGCGCTATTCCAGGCGGGAAGCGAAAGACAAGACTAAGTCTATTACATAGTTTATAGAAGCTCGGAATATTGGAAGAAATAAAAAAAAATGTATAAACTGGTCACCTTCATCTTTAGTGTGCTCTAACAGTGACATAAAAACTATACAAGACTAGCCCGGAACAATAAATGGCGCTTTTATCTCGCAGTGGGCTTGGTGAAACACACTTGCAGCTTACCACGAGCCTACATTTAGTTTGAGTCCTGTTATGTGACGTAAGAGTATGCGCACAACTACACTGTTCCACAACTGTTCAGTCTAGCTTTGATTCTTAATACTTATATGGAGGTGCGCACACTACTCGAATTTTAGTTGTAAAACTAAATAGTTGAATTAACTGCGAAACAATCTATAATCGCACAACTGTTATCCGATAGTTTAATCAGAGGTGTGCGCCCGCTCTCACGCGTGCTATTTCAGATTACTCACAAGAGTTACGTTTGCAGGGCTTCTGACAGGTCGCCGTTTGATGGGTCGTGTTGCTCCGGCTATCGACCCGTGGACTCCGGCAGCTTGACTACCCCTGACGAGGACGATCTTGATCCGGTAATGTGGAGAAAAACAGAGTATAAAATAAAATGATGCTGCTATTAAATTCTTGCTGAATAATATTTTAAACGATGTTTTATGCTGTCCTGGTACTCGGTGTAAGGAAAACCGATTTATAAAGATTTTTCGCAGATCCCGAAGTACCGCGTGGTGTTGCTGGGCGACGCCGGCGTGGGCAAGACGGCGCTAGTCTCGCAGTTCATGACGTCAGAGTACATGAACACTTACGACGCCAGTTTGGGTAAGTTAAATTCGATTTTTACCTCTATTTACGTAGATAACGTCATTTCAAAAAGTGCTAAAACTCAATAACACATTCTATAGCTTTTGCGTTTGAATTCAACGATATTGTAGGTTTTTAAATACTGAAATATTCACATAACGTTGTCAAATATTTGTAATTTATTTTTCTCTTAATAAATAAGTGAACTTTTCAATGTAACAAGAATATGTTCCGAGTAAATAAGCTTCATATTTCACTTAAATCCAGACGCAAAAGGAGTGTAATCGCAGTTCATTAACTTTGAAAGCGGATGTAAACCAACACGAGGAGTGTTGGTTTACATTGCAGTATCTACATCTATTCGTATTTAAAAAAAAAATACATATATGTTTTATTTGTGCTAAAAATTCTTATTTATATGTCGAAAATACAGTATACAGGACGTGAATAGTTGAAAATGTAGGCTCTACGATCGATATAAAAGTGTCTGGGGCGCCGACCCTGCCGCGCCAACATCTTGTAGATGGCTTTTCTTATAATTCTTTTCAATAAAACCCTGTCTTAAAAACTAGTTTTTATTGCAAGGAGCTGTCTCTAGGGACATGAGGATTGTTCGAAACTTCTCCAATGGAACAGAATCGATATAAATTAGTGTACATTTAAAAAAACAAAGTTAATCTATTTATTTATTTACTTATTTAGATTTATACAGGGTTATTGGTAATTAGACGTATCCCCATTAAGAAGTAATAGAGGGGATCATTTGTGATAATTTTGACCCCTATATGCATTATGCAAAAGTTAGCCATTTTCTAGTAATCTTGATTTTTCGATTTCAAAATCAGTCGAAATTGCAACTTTAAAAATTTATTTAAAAAAAACTATCAATGATAACTTATTTTTTTCTTCAGGTTTATAAAAACCATTAAACACTGTTTATTTTACAATATAAAAACATCATTTATCTGTCCAAATTAAAAATGCGAGGTAAATAACCATTTTACTTTAATATTTTTCGAGATTCTCACCCACAGAAATGCCTTAAAAACGAAAAAACCAATAAGGAACTTGGTCTGCAGATTTTAGTATAAACATGCCCGTTTTCTTAGCTTTCCAAAAATGCATAATAACTAGGAACTTGTCCCAAGGCCATTAAAATAAACAGATGATTTCAAAGAAATCGGGCGGTATTTGTAGTCAAACTAAAGTTACGGTTGGTTTTGAAAACTCCCATAAAAGTAATTAAAAACAGTAGAAAACGTAAAATAACCCAAAAGTACAAATTTAAGTTAATTGAATGAATCTGATTCTAAGATAGAGTTAAAAAGTAAAATGTTTTGATAAAGTTGAGAGTTTCTTGTCTAAATAAAATCAATGTGTTTTCATTCTCGGCGCGGCGACCTTCTGAGCTTTTCTTTGAGATTGTTTGCAAATGCTTTAGCATTAAGAACAAAGATATTTATTAATTCCTTGCCTGCGCACAAACGATAACGTAAATATCCTGCTTTATGAAAGTTCAGCGACTTCAAATAACAAGAATAATTTTTCATATGTCTGTATTTACAAAACTAGCTGTTATCTCCGTCGTGTTTGTTCAATATCTTGTCACAGTAAAGAATACTTTAAAAATGGTCTCCAAATGGTAATGAAACATCTATGTCAGTTTTATTTACATTTTATATCAAAACCACGATGGTTATAATCTGTTTAAATATAATACCTGCATGAAAAAATATGATATCACACATTTATTTACAAAATAAGAGATCTTATTGTACAGTCAGTTGCAATATTATACATTTGAAATTTATAAACGCGTTCGGTTTCTAATATTTTCACCCTTTTTTCCAAATGCTTCGAACCATGACATACTATTGAATACATCTACACGTAATTTTGAAACCAAAGTCTTATCCAAGTCTCTAAACTTATACGACAGTATATTTACAGCTGACTGTACATGTACATGCAGTGTTAACCCAGCGTATAATAACCTAATATTATTCCGTACTAAAAACGTAATATATTGACATTTTGCAAATAAAACTAATTAACGTTCGTCAGAGCATCTTCAGTATGTAATAATACAGTCGAGTTTTAGTCGAGAGGATTCGGAAAATCGTTGCTTTTGACAAGTATACTTGGATATAATTAATTATGAGTGCTTTCTCGTAATCACATACTTTCATATTAAATTGAAAACAGAGATATCGGAACATTGATAATCACCGGAATTCGAGAGCAATCTACTTCAAATCTTTGCGACCACATTCATAGTTACAAAGCAATAAAAACTGAATAAATACTTTTTATAACAATTCAACATTCGAACGTTCATGATAGAAATATTTATTCTGTCTTATTTTTTCTATTGTTTACACGATCAACAATGTTATTTAGATTTAAAATTATCTTAATTATTACATCTCGAAGAATCTAGAATAGTCTAAATTTTCTGGTTGATTTATTTCTTTAATTCACAAAATAGACTTTACTGAACTACGTTAAGATTCATTTTTCTATCTTGAATGATTTAGTATAGTTGATTTTATTGGCTTGTGCATGTTTTTCGAAGCTTGTTTGTACAAACGGTTTGAAAGTATGGCTGGGGCTATCTTTTGTAAATAATACAACTTCTTTTTACTTGCTATCGCCTGGTGCAGCTAAGCGAGGTAAGATTTCTTCACTTTCCTTTAATTGGTTAACAGCTTTTGTAGTAATATCTGATTTTCTAATAGAATTGTGTTCTTGTAGTTATTTGATTTATCCATTTATGATTGTCTCCTCGTGTTGACTAACATTTCTTTATTTTGCATGTATTTTTTCCGTTAGCTAATTTTGTTTTAGCGTGAACTGTAAATAATTTTTGGTTTGTTGTTGGTTTAATTACATTTAATAACAGTTATTAGTGTCCGACCGAAAATGTTTTTTTTTTTTTTAACTGAAACCGAATTTTCTATTCATTAAAGCCCAAGATAAGTTTACCGAGCATACAAAAATACACGAACATTCCAGTTTCGACGGAGCCGAAAGTTTCCGATATATTTTGGTCGAAACCGAAACTAGATTTTTAGCCGAAACTGCACCGAAACCGAAAGTCTGGTCGGACATTAACTTCGTTATTTAATTAAAAATATAACTATATTGTATTTTTAACAACGCAGAATATTGCACGCAATATGTAGTGATTAGTTCATTAATTTAGGTAGTGGCTGGTGTTTTAAAAGCAATTTTTTTATTGGTTTTCATTTTATATGTTGCATGTGTTATACACTTAACAAGTTAAATAATATTTTCTGTTAGGAAATGAATGGCGAAATGGGACCGTATCATTTGGAAATAATAAAATCAAATTATAAATTTAATATCGTGTTCAGATCTTAAATAAAAAAAAACTTTATAATAGAATCAACCAGCATTATAATTGGTTATTTAATGAAGTAAAACGTAAACATGAATAAGCATATTACCTTTTGTTGCAGACGACGAGTTTGGGGAGAAATCAGTATCGGTTCTGCTCGACGGTGAAGAATCTGAGCTCATCTTCATCGATCATCCCAGCACTGAGATGTCGGTAAGAATTTGACCACTGAAACAAGATTATGTTAATTCAAAGTAACTATCAACATGCGGCTGATAATAATGATAAGTCAACGAATTCCCTTATAACTAACTAGCTGTTCCCGTGCGACTTCATCAGCATGAAATTATGAAAATTTTATTTCATTGTTTACATGTGTCAAATTTTCAATAGCAAATGACATGACATGATGACAACCTTGCTTTCTTGATGTTGGCAGCAACTTATGGTCTCTTTTCCACATTAGGGTTTTTATCTAATATATTTACCCCCTAGGTTTAATAGCGTTAAAATATATAGCCTAAAGCGTGACGCAAGTAAAGGGCTTTTATTAAAAAATATGGTGTAATTGCTGACATCTTAGGCAACAAAGAAGTGTGTGTTTTCGCTTTATTATAATAGTATAAATTACCTCTTTTAATGTATACCAACATTACCTGGAATAAGAATACGGAATAAGCAAATTCCCTCATAATTCAATTATCTTAACTGTATACAATCCTCATTAAATTTACCACAGATAGAAAACTGTTTATCTACGTACGAGCCTCACGCATGCGTGGTAGTGTACTCCGTGGTTGCCAGGAGTTCATTTACCAGGGCAGCAGAACTGCTGCAATACTTAGCCAGGGAGCAGTTCACAGTCGACAGGACTGTGGTCCTGGTTGGCAATAAAGCAGATCTGGCTAGAGCAAGACAAGTCACTACCAATGGTGAGTCATACCTTAGAAAGTAATGCTTTTGTTTATAAGGCGTAAGAATTTATGGACATTTTGTGCTAGAAGGTAAACTGTAGACATCTTTAAAAGGCTCTTATGATGACCTTGAATTTTTAATTGTTTTAATATAGATTAGCTGTTGCTCGCGACTCCGTCCGCGTGAAATTAGAAAATATAGTCTATGTTACAAATAAATTACATTTAAAACGGTAAAAGATTTTTTAAAATTGGTCCAGTAGTTTTTGACTTATTTCAATACATACAAAAATACAAATCTTTCCTTTTTATATTAATATAGATAAGATATTATGATTGATTTGTATAGCATTCTAGTTTTTGCTTTCTTTAATCGCGATCTTTTTATCTAGAGGGTAAAGCGCTAGCAACAACAAGAGATTGCAAATTTATTGAAACATCATCCGGCATTCAGCACAACGTCGATGAACTGCTCGTCGGGATTCTGAAGCAAATACGACTCAAAGAGAGTAGAGACAAAAAGCAAGCAAAGAAAGTTAGCAAACAGGTAAAATAAACAAACTGGGATATACTATAAATAATTATTTGAAACAAATAAAACAAACGACGAATATTAATCGTATTTCGTATTTGAAACAATTTGAATGAAAACATCTTTAGTAACTATGATTTACTAGCTTTCGCCTGCGACTCCGTCCGCGTGGAATTAAAAAAAAACAAAAGTGAGTAGCCTATGTTCTTCCAGACTATCCTCTACAACTGTACCAAATTTCATCGCAATCCGTTCAGATGTTTAAGCTACAAACTCTAACGAACATCCATCCATCCATCTAAACTTTGATGATGATTTGATGTATGAAGTACGAGCTTTCGCTCGCGACTCCGTCCGCGTGGAATTAAAAAAAACAAAAGTGAGTAGCCTATATGTTCTTCCAGACTATCCTCTACATCTATGCCAAATTTCATCGAGAACCGTTCAGCCGTTTAGGCTACAAACTCTAACAAACATCCATCCATCTAAACTTTCCCATTAATAATATTAGTATGATTAGTTTGTCTTTTTCTTTCTTAGGAATCAAAGTCTTCGAAACTCGCAAGTTCCCGAACTCACATATCTCTCAGCATTGCGAGGGAGTTGCTACAGAAGATTTGCATCAATGATATTTCTAAATCAAAATCCTGCGAGAATTTGCACGTCCTTTAACCGTTTGTGCGACCTCGATTGATAAAACGGCCACGAAAAGTCAAGTTTTGCGAGACCACGTTATAAACGAATTCCGATTTTAATTTCACTAACACAAGTTTTAAATTTGCTTGTAACCAAACAGATTAAAAATCATAGATTAGATCTCACTAACGCCATCTATTAATAAATCCCCAAAACTAAATTTCAATATAATCAATCGTATTTAAATTCATTAGGGAATATTTAAATATGTTATTTTTAGACTCCGTTTAGTTTATTTTGAAAAATGGTTTATTATATGTTAATAAACGAGGTGGCGCTAAATTTGACAATGTACCTTTCAGAAAGTACCGGTGAAAAAATTTTGTTCACTATGCCTAGTCTATATTTTAAATATCTTTATAATCCATTAAATTTATTTTAACCAATAATGTGTCAGATATGTCTCAGTATAAGACACTTACATTGGAAGTAGGCTATAAAAATATTATTTGAAAAACTACAAATTCTTTCAGGTTAATTTTTAAATTGTTTTAATGCCACTGTGTTTAAATCTTTCTTTGTTTTTATTGTACTTATTAATCAATAAATCGAACGTTGATCTAAATTATTGGAAAGTAATTACAAATTTCAATTTACCCGTAAAATTGTTTTACCACATATGAAGTGGAACTTTATTGACTTACAAGATATTTGAGTAGATACTTCGAGTTTATTGCTTATTGAAATTTAACGGCCTCGTAACAAATAAGTTTCAAACAATGCTTAATTTAATTGCATTCTTGTAAATAGACAATAGCGGGAACACTCCTTTGATTATACTATCGCACAACTGTTGTGCGATTGTCGATTGTTTCGCAGCGTTCAACTGTTTAGTTGCACAACTAAAAATCGAGTAGTGCACCTCCATATAAGAACATAGGAATCAAAGCGCGACTACAGTGTTGCGATAGTTTAGTGAAATGCATGCGCGCTTGTTTCTTAGTTTATCAAGGTTTTTTTTTAATATAAGACTTGATGTTTTCTTCGTCTTGTTCCTATATTATGATTGTAGTGTATAATTAAGATGTATTCTAACATAAATGTTTTTTATTCTGGTTGTGTAAATTCTTCCTTCTTTGTGTAATGTACTCGAATTACTATGCCTTTGTAGATACACTAAGAATTAAAGTTAAGCGTAGATTCCCACCTTTTTCCTTTAATATGACTTTGTTAATGTAAAGTTTATTAGTTAGTTTTATTAATAGCACGCTCACTGCGTAGCAGGTCGATATCGGCCCGCCGCGGTACTTGAGCTGGTGCGGACGAGGAAAACTATGTCCCTCTTGCTAGTGGGACACGATTATCTCAGGTGTATACATTATGTTTCCTCAAAGTTATAGCAATTTAATCTATCCTAGTGCTAGTTGAATAATTATGATTGTACTTGCCGCAGTAAACGTATTTCTCATTATTTTTAATTTATGAGTTTCCATACTTTCCATTAAACTTTAAAGCACATGTTAAATCAACTTAGAGCTTTGAAAGTTTCGATGAACAACCTGCAACACTTATTATTTCTAGCCAACAACCCTCCACCCTCACGCTGGAACTGTAGACGGACATTTAGTAATTACTGATGTAACCTCTCAGAACAGAATACGTAGTTCTTCCATTATTAACGAGATCGTAAAATTTTATTTGATACTAAACGAACAGATGTAGTACATCATAAAACTAAAGATAAAACGACAAAGGGTTGACAATTAAAGCTCTCTTAACTTTACCAATACTTCTTTTACTGCTTGTGTATGTGCACATGAGTTTTCGTACCAGAAATCCTTAAAAGAATATGTTTGTCTCTTTCCTACTTAAGGTAAATGAGAAAGATGACTGGTTTTGTTCTGGTTTCTGCGTTAAAACCCTATAGTAGATAAATGTATCGATTAAAATTTCATATTTTTCCATTAGAATAAATGTAATTGTAAGAGTAGTTAATGTTTCTTATATTATGATATGTTAAAAATAATTTACTTAAATTAAAAACTCGATAAATTACAAACATGAAAGAAAAATATTCTAAACAATTTGATTCTTAAGCCCGCAACACACCTTAATTACCGATTTGGAACCGTATACTAACAATTTCCTGTGTTACATTTCAAATGTTACATTGACTGTACAGTACTCAGTTTCATTTACACGCCTACGAATAACTGTACAGTTTGATTGTACAAATAAATTGTGCAGTTAAAACTGAAGGTGTGTCGCAGACTTGACATGTGTAACTCGATCAACAAGATACTCCCGATTGAGTCATTTGTAAGGAGTAAAAGTTTTTAATAAAAATAATGAGGGTCAGATTTCAGGTCAAATGTAAGGGATACATACGAGAAAGTCCCTACGAAGTTTATTTTTGAAACGTGAAAGTTTTTGAAGAAGGAATTTGAACATGTTCGGGATTCTTTTAGAAGTAATAAAATTAGGGTAATTTATTAAGCATTTTTAAACTGATATTTTGCACATGTAACAACGCCGTTTCTTTTGTTTTGTGAAATGACGATGTTCTTTTATTTTATTCATTTCAAAAATCGAACTGATTTTGTTTTAATTCTTATTCTTCTAATGTATTACAAAATTCAAACTTCAATACGGCTCGTGGTTGAATGCATCTTGCTTACGAATGTCCCTCGGATAGAATAGCGTGCCTCGAGTCAAATTTCGAGCCGGCAAAAACTTTGAATATTACTGTACTTAAATATTTGTTTTGAAATTTAAGTAAATTATTTGAATTACATTGTTAGTTGTAATAAATGTTAGTATCTAAGTAGTTTTCTATCTAGATGTAATCTTTCTACATAATATATACTGATTGTATTTTTCTATATAAATATAAGACTTTAAAATGTGTTAAATTCCATCACGAGAGTTATATCCGAGTTACGTTTTAAAAGGTTTTTTTAATTTCAAAGAACTTTGAATCAAAGTCGTTCCGTAATTCTACAATAAAGACTCTCGTGATGAAAAAGCACCTTATATTTTCTAAGACGTTTATAGAAAATATTCCTTACGCTTATTTCCGTTAATAACTAAATCTAATTATGATTTTATTGGACTTTGTTTTCGTTTTCATTTCTTATTAAAAATATCTACTTGTATATTAAAATCAAAATTTGTCTCGATCTTATTTTAACTACTATAAAATACAATATGTTTTGGATTTTTAAATTTATTGTTACACTAATAAATGTTATTTTTACAATAAGTATACTAAATAGCAATTTTATTTCTTCCAATTTTTTTATTAGATTAAGTGTTACTCTTATTACCCTAAAAGGGAAATTGAGCTTTAACATACTGTAGTTATACTTGTAGAATTTCTAAGATCTCTAATATTTCTACATGTCTATTTTATTTATTTTTACAATATAAAACAATTAATAACATTATCCTTAAACTATGGCCTAGTTAAATCGTGAGAAAACGCCTCAACTGACGCTTTATTCTTCGATGACGGCACTAACAACAACAAAGGCTAACTAATACTAGCCCTGAAGGACCTTCGAAGGGTCTGAAAACAGTCGGTGCCGTCATCGGAGGATAAAAGCGTGAGTTAAGCCGTTTTTAATATTCGCTTATGGCCTAGTTCTTATAAAACTAATATTAATTCATAGTAGTTTACAAAAATGAAAATAACTACATTATTCTTATCAAATTATTATGGACTTGTTCAGAATTATAGACAGGATAAAAGGGCCTATCTACTGACTGATTTTGCTTACTTAAAATCCATCAACCCTTTAGTACACTGCTGGGATAACAGAAATAGTATAAAGAGAAAATTTCCTTGTCATTCTTCGAGTATACTATTTATTAACTGTTTCTAATGACATCCTAAAACAGCCTTCGTTAGATTTAAGTTTTAAACTTTAGAATGTCTATGTAATACTAATGTTTCTATGTTCGAAAATATTTTAACGCATTTGAAAATTAATATATTAGTTACAATATGTTTGTTGTTTTATTTACGACCATTATTATAAAATCGGATGAGTATATAAGATATGTGAGTGGATAAAAATTATTACAAAAAAAAATATTAGTGCAGGCACACCTTTATGTAAACTATCGCACGACATCTATGAGTGGGCAATCTTTTCGATTTTTATTTATGCAACTAAACAGTTGAAGGCTGCGAAACAATCGACAATCAATCACCAGCTCACTATACGTCCCCAGCGAGGGGCTCGAAGCCTACCCTAAAGTTAGGGTGACTAGGCCATAGTCAACCACGCTGGCCAAGTGCGGGTTGGTTGACTTCACACATATCTTTGAATTTCTTCGCCGATATGTTCAGGTTGCATCACGATGTTTTCCTTCACCGAAAGAACGTCGGGTAAATTATGTACATATGAAAATTCGAAAAATCGAAAATCACATTGGTACAGCGGGATTCGAACCCATGACCTGTAGATTACAAGTCAGGTGCCTTAACCACAGAGCCACCGACGCTCTCGCGTGCGATTGTCGATTGTTTCTAAATGCAGTCTGTTTTCTAAATGCAGTGTCGATAACTTCCATGCGGTGTTGCCATCTTAAGGTGATTTCATCTAACAGTATTTCCTATTTCCACTTATCCATTTCCACAATTTGCATAGTAAAAGTAGCAACATCATACAAAGAAAGTTTCTGCTAAGTGTAAACTGGTTTTAATGATGTAGAGTTTAAATTTTATTTTATTCCATCTCTTTGTTTCCAAGCCATAACTTGTTACTTTCATTGCATGAATAAATAATAGAAGTTTGTCGCTTTCTGTTACTTTTTATGAATCATAAAATATTCACGTAAATGCAAGAGCCAGATGCGACTTCTGGGTCGATGGTAAACTTGTCCGACTTTCTACCTATTGAAATACGAGGAAAAGTTTCTGTATGAGAAGAAAACTTTTTATTTACTTTTTTAACTACGTCTTGTCCGTGACTGTCCCCGCGTAATCTTACTACTTACCAATTATATAAATGCGAACGTTTAGATGGATGAATATTTGTTAGAGCTTAAAATGCTTGACAAATATCGATTAAATTTAGTACAGATGTAGGTAATAGTCTGAAAGAACAGATAGGCTACTTATGAATTTTAATTTAAC